GGAAAATTCCACTTAGGGTTAGGGTTACGTCACCATGAACTCATAGAGCAAGACGGACATCGCCAACAAACTCGGAGTGCTTGGGTATGGTTAGCAGGGCACTGATTTTGCTCTAGGAGTTCACGGTGACGTAACCCTAACCCTAAGTGGAATTTTCCTACAATGGGATTTTCCCATGTATTTTACCAGGAAATATAGAAAGGTCAGCCTAGAAAAGTCAGTGCCCTCCTAACCATACCCAAGCACTCCGAGTTTGTTGGCGATGTCCATTTTCCTCTAGGAGTTCATGGTGACGTAACCCTAAACCTAAGTGGAATTTTTCCTCCAATGGAATTTTCCCATGTATTTTACCAGGAAACATACATCGGCAGCCCTAGAAAGTCATGCCCTCCTAGACCATACCCAAGCACTCCAGGTTTGTTTTGTCGATTTCCTTTTGCCTAGGAGTTCACGGTGACATAACCCTACCCTAAGTGGAATTTTCCTACAATGGGATTTTCCCCTTGTATTTTACCAGTAAACATAGAAAGGGCAGCCTAAAAATTAATGCCCTGCTAACCATACCCAAGCACTCTGAGTTTGTTGGCGATGCCCACTTGCGTCTTGAGTGTCCGATGACGTAACCCTAACCCTAAAGTGGAATTTTTCCTCCAATGGGGATTTTCCCATGTTCTTTTCCATAAAACATAGATAGGTCACCTAAAAAAAAGTCATGCCCTCCTAACCATACCCAAGCCCTCCGCGTTTGTTGCGATGTTTTCCCATTTTGGCTCTAGGAGTTTCATGGTGACGTAACCCAACCCTAATGGAATTTTCCTCCAATGAGATTTTCCCATGTATTTTACCAGGAAACATAGGTCAGCGTAGAAAAGTCAGTGCCCTCCTAACGATACCCGAGAACTCCGAGTTTGTTGGCGATGTCCATTTTCCTCTAGGAGTTCATGGAGACGTAACCCTAACCCTAAGTGGAATTTTCCTCCAATGGGATTTTCCCATGAATTTTACCAGGAAACATACATAGGGCAGCCTAGAAAAGTCAGTGCCCTCCTAACCTTACCCAAGAACTCCGAGTTTCTTGGTGATGTCCATTTTGCACTAGGAGTTCACAGTGACGTAACCCTAACCCTAAGTGGAATTTTCCTACAATGGGATTATCCCATGTATTTTACCAGGAAACATAGAAAGGGCAGCCTAGAAAAGTCAGTGCCCTCCTAACCATACCCAAGCACTCCGAATTTGTTGGCGATGTCCATCTTGCTCTAGGAGTTCTTGGTGACGTAAACCTAACCCTAATTGGAATTTTCCTCCAATGAGATTTTCCCATGTATTTTACCAGGAAACATAGGGAAGCCTAGAAAAGTCAGTGCCCTCCTAACGATACCCGAGAACTCCGAGTTTGTTGGCGATGTCCATTTTCCTCTAGGAGTTCATGGAGACGTAAATCTAACCCTAAGTGGAATTTTCCTCCAATGGGATTTTCCCATGAATTTTACCAGGAAACATACATAGGGCAGCCTAGAGAAGTCAGTGCCCTCCTAACCTTACCCAAGCACTCCGGGTTTCTTGGTGATGTCCATTTTGCACTAGGAGTTCACGATGGTGTAACCCTAACCCTAAGTGGAATTTTCCTACAATGGGATTATCCCATGTATTTTACCAGGAAACATAGAAAGGGCAGCCTAGAAAAGTCAGTGCCCTCCTAACCATACCCAAGCACTCCGAGTTTGTTGGCGATGTCCATCTTGCTCTAGTAGTTCATGGTGACGTAACCCTAACCCTAAGTGGAATTTTCCTCCAATGGGATTTTCCCATGTATTTTACCAGGAAACATACATCGGGCAGCCTAGAAAAGTCAGTGCCCTCCTAACCATACCCACGCACTCCAACTTTGTTGTCGATGTCCATTTTGCTCTAGGAGTTCACGGTGACGTAACCCTAATCCTAAGTGGAATTTTCCTACAATGGGATTTTCCCATGTATTTTACCAGGAAACATAGAAAGGGCAGCCTAGAAAAGTCAGTGCCCTCCTAACCATACCCAAGCACTCCACGTTTGTTGTCGATGTCCATCTTGCTCTAGGAGTTCATGGTGACGTAACCCTAACCCTAAGTGGAATTTTCCTCCAATGGGATTTTCCCATGTATTTTACCAGGAAACATAGAAAGGGCAGCCTAGAAAAGTCAGTGCCTTCCTAACCATACCCAATCACTCCGAGTTCGTTGCCGATGTCCATTTTGCTCTAGGAGTTCATGGTGACGTAACCCTAACCCTAATTGGAATTTTCCTCCAATGAGATTTTCCCATGTATTTTACCAGGAAACATAGGGCAGCCTAGAAAAATCAGTGCCCTCCTAACGATACCCGAGAACTCCAAGTTTCTTGGTGATGTCCATTTTGCACTAGGAGTTCACGGTGACGTAATCCTAACCCACAGGTCGGCAACCTGCGGCTCCGGAGCCGCATGCGGCTCTTTGAACCTTCCCTAGTGGCTCCCAGCCTCCTCTGCCTTTGCAGAGAGAGACAGAGACAGAGAGGCAATTGGGCTTTCCTGCCTCTCTCTCTCTCTCTCTCTCTCTCTCTCTCTCTCTCTCTCTGTGTGTGTGTATGTAAAAGATTGCACTCACAGTGTTCTCCGAGGAGCTGAAAAGCTTTCTGGACGGAGCTCCTACCTTTGCTGCGTCTCTGCAGGAAGCAGGAAGCAGGAAGGGTAGGAGAGAGCTAGCTAGCCCAGCTAGGCTGACTCAGGAATTCTGGGAGTTGAAGTCCATGAGTCATAAAAGAGACGAGGTTGCCTACCCTGATCTTGTTGGACAACAGCTTGAAGCTTTCCAGGTGAGCAGAAGATAGGAGAGAGAGAAAGAGAGAGAGAGAGAGAGGGAGGGAGGGAGAGAGAGAGAGAGAGGAAAGAGAGAGAGAGAAAGAAAAAGAGTGGGGGAAGAGGAGTGGCAGGCAGACCAAGGGCAGATAGAGAGGGAGCGAGAGAGAGAGACAGAGAGAGAGAGAGAGAGAGACCCTTTTGACATCTAAAATGAAGATAACACTGCATATATCCTTTTTTTACCTGTATGTGTTTGTGTATGTATGTGTATATATATGTGTGTGTGTATACATACATATACACACACACACACACACACACACACACACACAAACACACAGACACCTATAATAATGGTAAAAAAGGATATATGCAGTGTTATCTTCATTTTAGATATCAAAAGGATTTCGCGGCTCCCGGTGTTTTGTTTTTGGTGGGAAACAGGTCCAAGTGGCTCTTTGAGTGTTTTGGGTTGCCTACTCCTGGGTTAGGGTTACGTCACCATGAACTCATAGAGCAAAATGGACATCGCCAACAAACTCGGAGTGCTTGGGTATGGTTAGGAGGGCACTGACTTTTCTAGCCTGCCCTATCTATGTTTCCTGGTAAAATACATGGGAAAATCCCATTGGAGGAAAATTCCACTTAGGGTTAGGGTTAGGTCACCATGAACTCCTAGAGCAAAATGGACATCACCAACAATCTCGGAGTGCTTGGGTATGGTTAGGAGGGCACTGACTTTTCTAGCCTGCCCTATCTATGTTTCCTGGTAAAATACATGGAAAATCCCATTGGAGAAATTCCACTTAGGGTTAGGGTTACGTCACCGTGAACTCTAGAGCAAAATGGACATCGCCAACAAACCTCGGAGTGCTTGGGTATGGTTAGGAGGGCACTGACTTTTCTAGGCTGCCTTATTCTATGTTTCCTGGTAAAATACATGGGAAAATCCCATTGGAGGAAAATTCCACTTAGGGTTAGGGTTACGTCACCGTGAACTCCTAAAGCAAAATGGACATCACCAACAAACTCGGAGTGCTTGGGTATGGTTAGGAGGGCACTGACTTTTCTAGGCTGCCCTTTCTATGTTTCCTGGTAAAATACATGGGAAAATCCCATTGTAGGAAAATTCCACTTAGGGTTAGGGTTACGTCACCGTGAACTCCTAGAGCAAAATGGACATCGCCAACAAACTCGGAGTGCTTGGGTATGGTTAGGAGGGCACTGACTTTTCTAGGCTGCCCTATGTATGTTTCCTGGTAAAATACATGGGAAAATCCCATTGGAGGAAAATTCCACTTAGGGTTAGGGTTAGGTCACCATGAACTCCTAGAGCCAAATGGACATCCCAACAAACTCGGAGTGCTTGGTATGGTTAGGGAGGGCACTGAGTTTTCTAGGCTGCCCTATCTATGTTTCCTGGTAAAATACATGGGAAAATCCATTGGAGGAAAATTCCACTTAGGGTTAGGGTTACGTCACCGTGAACTCTTAGAGCAAAATGGACATCACCAACAATCTCGGAGTGCTTGGGTATGGTTAGGAGGGCACTGACTTTTCTAGGCTGCCCTATCTATGTTTCCTGGTAAAATACATGGGAAAATCCCATTGGAGGAAAATTCCACTTAGGGTTAGGGTTATGTCACCATGAACTCCTAGAGGAAAATGGACATCGCCAACAAACTAGGAGTGCTTGGGTATGGTTAGGAGGGCACTGACTTTTCTAGGCTGCCCTATGTATGTTTCCTGGTAAAATACATGGGAAAATCCCATTGGAGGAAAATTCCACTTAGGGTTAGGGTTAGGTCACCGTGAACTCTAGAGCAAAATGGACATCACCAACAAACTAGGAGTGTTTGGGTATGGTTAGGAGCGCACTGACTTTTCTAGGCTGCCCTTTCTACGTTTCCTGGTAAAATACATGGGAAAATCCCATTGGAGGAAAATTCCACTTAGGGTTAGGGTTACGTCACTGTGAACTCTTAGAGCAAAATGGACATCGCCAGCAAACTCGGAGTGCTTGGGTATGGTTAGGAGGGCACTGACTTTTCTAGGAGGGCACTTTCTGGAAGGATAGGAGGAAATGACCTCAGCCACCGAAAAGGGGCCTATCTAAAACCTGGGAGAAGTACTGGCTTCTGCTCCCCTGCCCCCCCCCCCCGGCTGTCATCCTTGCCACACACTTTTGTCTCCTTAACACACCGCAGCCCAGAGTTTCATCCTAGGTTCACAAGGCGTCTTTCCTTCTTTCCACGGACTTCAAAGAAGCATGCCCGTGAAAGTGGTCTGCTGCAGAAAGGCTCTTTGCTGGAAAAAGCGGGAGTTGGGGCCTGAGATTACCTTTGGCGGAAGACCCCCTTCATAGGCTGGCCAACTGCAAGACAAGGCGATGGGCCTCCCAGTCTGGTTTAGCGCTCGGCTCATTTTGGGGTAGCCTGAAAAATGCCCAGAGAGTGTGGCAAGAGACCATCAATTGCACAGGCAGAGGCTGCTTAAGTTACTTCAGCCACCCCCCCCTGGGAGTCCCCAAAAGCCATCGGCCTCCATCCCTTCCACAGCAGGGGGCTGTCTTGGAAGCCACTTTGAGAACCCCAACTCGACTGGCCTCCCTCAAAAGGTGTGTTCTGACTTTCATGCTCTGGTGCCTGAAGGTGAAACCCCCCCCCTCCAATGTTCCCAACAAATTGCAATGTTGCCATAATGAGCAGCAACAACCTCGTGCAAACTCTGCCCCTCCCTGGCTGGCGGAGAGGCAGACTTTGGAATGAGCTGGTTTGCTCTTTTCCACCTGACCCCAGACCCCCCTCTCCCTCATGTGCTCCCCCAGCCACTCTTCCTCCGGGACGGCTGACCTATGGCCTTGAGGGAGGAGTTGGAGAAGCAGCCATCCAGCTTTAGCATGTCGACCCCCCACTCTGCAAAGGTGTTTGCATCCGTTTCCACAGTATCCAGGGTGGTGCCCGGATAACCCGCACAGGTGGTGTTGCCCAAGTCACTGTAGATGCCAAATTTCAAGCCTTTGGAATGAACCTGGATGAGGAGGAGGAGGAAGAAGAGGAGGAGGGGGGGAAAGGGGCTGAGGATGCCCAGTGCATGAGGGCTGAGGATCTCAGGGGCCCAACTGGCAACCGGAGCTGAGCCAGGTTCCTGCATTGTGAGACCCTCCCTGGATGCAGCTCTTAAGGCCTGGCCTAGGCTCCATCTTCTGATGGATGTAACACAGCATGCCCGACTGTGTTGGGTTAAAGAGATCAAGCGGTTCTATTTATGTGCAGCCTTGCTTAATCACTAATGAATCATGAAACACAGATGCTTGATGTTCCATATTGGCCGCTGCTTCTCTTTTGGCCATTTTAGGACAGGCCCTCCCCTGCACTCACATAGTCAGCCAGAGCCTTCATCCCGCTGGGGAACCTCTGGGGGTCTGCCTGGAGCCTCCCGAGGGAGTCCCGCTTGCCAGCTGCCCAGCAGTCATCCAGGGTGACGTACTCGTAGCCCAGCTTCTTCCACCCGTCTGCAGCCAGCCGGTCCGCCATGGCCTTGATCAGGTGCTCACTGTTGGCAAAGGAAAGGCGGCCTTGGTCTCCCAGGAAGCTTCCTTCATCCCAGGAGCGGATAGTGGGAATCTCTTCCCTGCACAAAACCTATCTAAGCTCCCAAAGGTCTCGCGATTTCTGAAAAGGCGTTCCGACGGTCTCCGTTATCACCTCCACCAGCATGCAGGTTGCGAAAAGGAGGCGCCTTCGGGAGCCCCGGTCGACCCTCGCGCTCCCGCACCTGATGCAGTTCTCGGGGTCCTTCGCACAGTCCGTGTTGCACTTGAAACGCACCCAGGGCTCCCAGCCCATCGGGGGCGTCCTCAACAGCCCGTTGTCCAGCGGGAAGACGCGACGGGCCAGGCCGAGCAAGATCCCCAACGAGAAGAGAAGCAGCGGCCGAGTAAGCGAGTCAAAGGCGCGGCCGGGCATTTTACACTCTACTTCGGGTCTTTGGCAGCGACACGAGTCTTCCCCCGAGATCGTCAGAACAGGCGCCAAACCTGCAGCCGCGTTCCGCGCCTGTCCCGCCCGCAGGAGCAGAATCTGGATCACAGCCGAGACCCTCGCCCAGCTGGCGGGCTTCCCCAGAAGGCGCATTGCGTCACAGGGAGCCCCCTCTATGACGTCACGACTTCGAACACGCCTCCACTTAGCACCGCCCACGGGGGTACTTCTCGCTTCGCGCACATCTCCATCCCCTAGGAGTGGAGCAAGTCTGTGGCCGGACCAGGTGTTCGGACCCCCCCCGCCCCCGCAAGCAGAGCGTTCCACGCCTCCCTCTCTTATTAGCGTCCGGATTGCAAACGGCTCTGCCTATAGGGCGGGGGGGGGCAATTTCGGACAAGCACGCTCCCTCTTAGCCACCCTCCTTCCTGAGCTGAGGGACACCTCGGCTGCCCTTTAAAGGGAGCTCAGATAGTGCGGTACCGTAGGATCGAAATGATTGACCTATCACAAGTGTCCATCTATGCAAAGTAACCAATGGGTGGGGAGAAGCTTTTTCTTCCGACCAATGAGAACGAGAGGGAGAGCAATCTCAGCCCGGCCCTTTGCCCAAGTCGCCCGTGGCCCCGCCCCCGAAGCGACTGCCCGCTTCGACCGCCGTTTCTCGTGGTGGCGCTTCCAGGCGGCCTCCGGTCGAGAGGGGGCGCTCTAACTCACGTGGCCAGAGGCCCAGCCCGGAAAGGGATGCCGGCTAGGCGGAAACAGCGGAGGGGGGAGAGAGGCAGAGGGCCTGTCTCGCCGCGACGCTCCTTGAAAGCCGCGGACGCCGATTCCTCCGCCGACGCGACGCGGCCCCGGCCTGAGGGAGCTGGAGAGGCCGCAGCCAGAGCAGACGCGGGCGCGATAAAGGAGGTGAGCTCGCTTTGGGCCGCCCAGCTCCCCCGCGGCGGGCAAGAGCCCCGCGCTTCCCCGGGAGGGGAACGGCCGCTTCCCCAGCACCGACCCCGGCCGACAGGCGGCCGGCGTGCTGGGCTTCCGGGTAGAGGACGAGCAAGCGGAGAGGGAAGCGCCCTTCTGGAAGGGGGACTGGCCCGGTCCGACAGTACCTCTACTCCCCCTCCTGCCGGGCCGCGGAGGCCCTGCCTGCCCGAGGCCGGCGCTCCTTTCCAGCCGGCCCTCGCGCGGACCTGTAGCCGTCGGTGGAGACTCCCCTGGGCCGCGTGGCCCCCTGGCGAAAAGCAGCCTCCCCTCGCTGACCCCCTGCCGGCCCAGGGCCTGCCCGCCCCCCGAGAGGAGCTCCCTGCCCAGCTTCCCGGGATCGTCGTCACATTTGCTTCTTGTGATCCGCCTTTCAATTTGGGGGCGATTCTGGCATGTTGTTTTATACAGTTCGAGTTTTATTCCTCGTTCTGTTAGAGTCTTTTTCATGTTTGAATGGGGAGCTTGTGCTACAGGTGGGCTGGGAGGGGAAAATGGGGTCCTCGTTTGTTCCCTGCTGCCCTTGAGAGCTTGTGGGCAGGAAAGCAACTTATAAACGAGATATGTGGAATAAAATCATATTTGCAGACTATTCAGATTATCTATAGGATTGAGACCGTCTTAAAGTCACTTGGGGTGATTTATAATAATTTCTTATTGTAAATCTTCAAATTATGATTCTCGGGTGTGGTTCTTTTCAGAGGTTTGGAGCCCCAGCCGGTAATTCTTTGGCAGAGAGGGTTGGTAGAAAGATTAGTTGAACCAAACGCAAGTGCAGTTAGTCCTCAACTTACGACCATAATTGAGCCCAAAATTTATGTTGCTAAGCAAGACAGTTAAGTGAGTTTTGCCCCATTTTGTGACCTTTCTTGCCACATTTGTTAAGTGAATCACTGCAGTTGTTAAGTTAGTAACACGGTTGTTTTACGTGAATTTGGCTTCCCCATTGACTTTGCTTGTCTGAAGGTCGCAAAAGGGGATCACACAACCCCGGGAAGCTGCGACTGCCATAAATATGAGTCAGTTGACAAGCGGCTGGATTTCGATCACAGGACCCTGGGGATGCTGCAGTAGTCATAAGTGTGAGAAAGTCATAAGTCACGTTTTTCAGTCCTGTTGTAACTTTGAACAGTCACCAAATGAACTGTTGTAACTCGAGGACTACGTGTATAGTAGCCTTGTTCTTTGGTTTGGTTTTCCTTTCCTTTTCATTTTTGGTGTTGCTGTTCTCTGGTAAAATGGATTGTATGTTAAAATGGACTCATGATTAATGGTGAGTCTCTTAATCATATTGTAGAATAGATTTTCTTGTCTGGAATATTTCAGAAATATTTAAATAAAAAGTTCTGCACTGTTTGAAGTATTTTGTTTTGTTCTAGATGGTAGGGCTTGTCTTGATGAATTTATTTAAAATATGGCTGTATTTATTTGCATTTACTTTTATTCTGTAATAACTTAGTATCTATGTTGCAATATTTAGAATGAGCTAAATATCTTAATGTGCACCATTTTTTTGTGAAATAGACTCGATTTTCTCAGATAAATGAAAGGGTTTACTGCTATTCGCTGGATTGGTTTAAAATATATTGCAACAACCTTGTTGGGTGGATATCTTGGGGAATTGTAGTCCCAAGTATTGGGAAAAGAACTGCTAGTAAAAGTGCATTGTAGTTTTCCCCCCTTGGAATTAGAAATATGTTGATTTTTTTTTTTTTTGAAAAATGAGATTCTGCAGGTTATTATATTTATATAGATCCCAATTTCAGAGGGTATGATAGAACACAGACAATATTTATTGTCTAATTTATTTTCTTGGTCTAAATTAACAAAGCTAATTAATGTATGGATCACTTCAGGTGAAACAACTCTAAAGATTTTTTTATCAATATAGTTAATATAAATAAACTTCTCCTGTAAACATAGCTTTTATTTTATTAGAGTTGATATTCAATAATTTAGGACTGATATTGGAATTGAGTATTTCCATAATTTCTCACAAATTGTTTTGCAAGCCAGCAACAGGCTGTGACTTTTGTTTCAGAAGCTGTGTACTGAAGACAAACGTGCTCAGGATAACATGTCCAGTGTTCCAGTGGACAAAAGCATCAGGCTGCAGGACATTAAGAAAGGGCTGCAGTTTATACAGTAAGAACTTTGAGTAACTGGATAGCTGTGTCTGAGAACTGTTGAACCTCTGCTTAAAACACGACACAACATTTTTTCTTCTTACATACCTTGTGCTAAGTTTTCTATTAAATATTAGCTAGCTTTGCTGGTACAAAATAAAACCTGGGCAAAAAATTCTCATGATGCACTGTCTCTAATATGTTGTGTTGCATAGTACTCTTTAATTTGCATTTGATTGCATCTTTATTTTGGAATATCTGCTATACATGGAATTGCACATTTCGCCCTGTCAGCAATATTGTACTCCAATCATATTTCCTCCTTGGTGTTTTTGGAGATAGTCTGGCTTACAGAGTTCATTCTTGTGGCAAGTGTATAGTGTGGGTAGAAGCCAAGATCGAGAATTTCAATGGCAAGTGTCTTGGGTGTGCAAGATCCTTGAAGGTGATCTGATACTTTATCTTTGTGGTTTCTAGGTCTACTCTACCATACCCTGGGTCTCAAGAACAATATGAGGTAACTGGCCTTCCTTTCTGAACTTCTTTACCTGCATTGTGGTCTCAGCAGTGAGTAGAAACTTCTAGAATCTTGGCTGTTGTAGGATGTGATGATTTCTCTTACCTTATTGACCATGTCAGCATTGTCTACTTAGTGATTGGTTGTTAGTAGTGGTTGTGTGGAGGTAGCAGAAGGGCTATAGGTTTCAGGACTTCCTTACTGCTTTTTGTTAGCTGGAACATTACTCCAGACTGATATAAAGCTTTGCTATGAGATGCACTTTTTTGCGCCTCTACCTGGAACCACTCCAGAACAAGTTACCGACAATAGCAAAGCACCCCTTGTTGAGCTGCAGAACTGCCTGCGTGACTTACCCAAGGATTTATGTTTCAGATCTTCATACGAGAACTTGTTAAAAACCTGTTTAATGAAGGAAACGATGCATACCGAGAAGGTGATTGGGAAGGGTCACTGAACCATTATTCTGAGGCTTTGAACATAGCCGATTATGCCAATTCTGAAGGAATCCACATTTCTGATGAAATATTAGAGAAACTGCATGTTAATCGTATAGCCTGTTACTCCAAGAAGGTAGGTGCTTCCTAAAAATGCTCATGGCTTATCAAGAACTAGGTTTCCATTCTGTAACGATGGTGGGTGTGGTGGAATCAGCATTTTGTCATCCCAAGCAGTTAACAGTATAGTAGTAAAAACAAACACTATATGATTCTTAACACAAATATAGCAAAATACAACAGTTTCATCACCATAAAATGGCAGTAATAATAGCAGTCTTGGCAGTGAGCATTCTAAGATCATAAGAGCTTAAAAAGTCCCTGGCCTGAGCTCCCAGATGTACATTTTGTGTTTGCCTGTGTGGCATGCGTTGTCTTGGAATATACTTGCAGCCTGAGATTCGAATCACAAAATGCTTGACACTATTCTGTCCTTCATTTTTACAGGGGTCGCATGATAGAGTTTTAGAAGAATGTGGGATAGTTTTAAAATTGAATGAAAATAATTTCAGAGCCCTTTACCGGAAATCCAAAGCTTTAAAAGAACTGGGAAGATACAAAGAAGCTTACGATGCTGTGGCAAAATGCTCCCTCGCAGTGCCCCAGGTGCGCGTGTCCTGTCAGCTAGTGGGGGAGGGGGCATTAATAGGGGTTCCCTGCATGTGGTTTCAAAACAACAGAGAATAGAAAATCCCTCTAAAATAAAATGCCGCTGAGAAGCTTGACTGTTCCTATCTTCTTTGTGCTAGCAATCCCATGGCCGGGGAGGGAGTGAATACATATGCAATTACTAGATATTGCTGTATTATTTTATTGGAATGTTGCACGTGGCCTAGAATTGGAGCTGACTGAGGTGATAAATGAACCTCAAGGATGCATAAATGTACATCATTACCTTGCCTGGATTCACTGCAAGAATGATTAACGTAGATTTGCTGGCATCCCACCCCAGTGGCCTCTTGGTGCACAGTCCCGACTCAGGGTGGCTCCCTGCAGGACCTGGATCAGATGCAGGTGGCATTGATGTACCTGATGCCGCTGTGTGAAATTTCTAACAAAACTTTTGTGTATAATTTATATTAGATCCTCTTTTTATTTTAATTTCTAGGATGAAAATGTAATAAAATTAACTCAAGAACTTGCTCAGAAGCTTGGATTGAAAATAAGGAAAGCCTACGTTAGAGCAAAAGTAAGTGAAAATAGCTGTGTACTTCGGTTCTGAAGTTTTCGCCTAATGCGTCTGTTACTTACAAGGATATGCTTCCTTGCAGTCTTCCCCCAACTCTGCTTCTGGAGAAGGAGCAAAGGTAAGGTTTTGTTCTGCTTTCTTTTTAGATCCTATTAGTGAAGTAAAAGCGTGGCATGGTTAAAAGCAACATGTCTTTCTAATTTTTAAATATTCCATTTGGAACCTCTGTTTGCTGGTTTAATTTAAAATATTTAGAATACATAGAAGTTTGAATGGTCTGTGTACTGTTCTTGCTTAGGATTTTTAGCCAAGATTCCCCTTTCATAACTGAAAATAAAAGTAAGATTTGCTTTTGAAAGAAGGAGGCCAGCTTGCTGATTTCAAGCTTCCCCTGTGAACAGCAATGGAGTCATGCTTCAGTGGCCACTTTGCCAAAAGCGATTTGCAGTTTATTGAGAGTATATGCCCCCTGACTCCCAGCAACTTTTAGTGGTTAATTGAAAGGATATCTGGTATCAAAATTGCAGAAGCATCTTGTCTTTTACTTAGCCGGTTCTGACACATTTTATAAAGTAACTGCCCTATGTCTTTTGCTGTTTATACCTCTGGATGACAAATCTTTTGCTTGCTTTCAGAGCTCAAATTCTTCTGTAGAAGACATTGAATCAGGTGAGGCCTCCTGGATTTAACGGGAGGACGGGTAAACAACAGCATCACTTTGGGTGGGTCAGCTAGAGATGGCTCTGTCCATTCTTGCTGGTTTGAATTTCTGTGGGATGGAAATACATTTCTCCCCTCCCAAAGTCTAAGTTGGGTTCCATTGGCTTCTAAGTGGGCAAGAGAGAGTCAGGGATGAATGGTATCCAAGAATTGAACAGCTGAAGGAAAGGTCCCTCTGTGAGATTTTTCCTGCAGCCTTCTCCTTGCCATTCAACGCATGTTGCTTAAGAATCTATGCTTGTTTATTTCTTTATAAATGTAAGGGTAATGTTTGCTTAAGTGCCAGGCAGTCACACTTCTCTGGATCTGTTGCACGAGCCTTGCCTCTCTTCTAGGGAAAGCATCCATTGGTACTTTTTTTTTTTATCAGTGGGGGCTGAGAGAGGATGTGGCAGCCTCCAAGCTCCTTGTTCTTTGAGAATCTCTGCTAAGAGCTCTCTTCCCGAACCAATATCTCTTTCAGATTTTTCCAGTTGGACGGAAAAGATTCTTTCTTCCTCCTCCACTTCCTCTTCCCCTTCCAGTTTTGCTCCTGAATTGCCAAGTGACCTGCCTCCGTTAGCAGCTGTGTCCTGCATGGCTCTCCCAGCGGAGAAGACTGCTCTCTCTGCCCCTCCACTGGCCAACGGAGGGCCCTTCTCTATCCCGGACGGCTGCTTGGACTGCGAAGATGGGGATGACATTATTGGAGATGAGCTGGATGAGTTGCTTGATTCAGTGTCTGATCCTGGTGAAGGTGGAATGGTCAGTCCCCTCGCTTTACAGAATACGGCTGAGGGGGAGGGGCTGCCTTGTCCTCCAGTGCTTCTCACAAGCTCCCCAGGGTCTTCTGTGTGGTTCTTTCCTTTGGGAAGGGGGAGGTTAGAGCTGCATTTCTGCACAGCCCGAATTGTCATCTGTCCTGCGGGTTTCTCATGAAGCAGAATCAATCTCAGGGGGAGTGAAATTTTTGGCAGGGGCCTGGGCAGAATTAACTCGTGTTGAAGGCTGCAGCCTTTTTCTCTTCCTTAGCCAAGTGCCGTCATCCGAGGAGCCATGCCAACCGCCACCATTGCTCCCAGCATCCCATTCTCTGCCCCTCTGCTTGGGACGTTGTCAGTTGGGGCTCGATTTGTTCCTGCTGCCTCTCTTTCTGAAATGTATTCCCAGCCCCTGGTTTCTGCCCTGGACAACTTTTGTTCCTCTTTAAATACTTTCTCAATCAGCGACTCTAAAAAAGGTAAGATCAATCTTAAGCAGAGCCTAAAAGGAGACGTGCTTCTGTCAAGGGTTGCAGCCCTCTGTGGAGACATGGGCCCCAGGAAGGCAGCACCACATTGGGGCATCAGTTTCAGGAGGCAAGAGTCAGAAGTCCTGACTTTCCCACCTGAAATCCAAGGTGGTGCTTAAAGGGGACTGGATTCTCACAGAAGCAATGCCCATCCTTGTCCTCTGAGTGAGACCATTGCCCATTTTGCTTTGCGTGCATAACCAATATATACCAGACTAACATGTGGTGTTCTTAATTCCAATAGATATACCCAATTCTCTTTCTAGAGATGTCAACACAGCATTAAGCAGTAATTCTCCTCTTCGGCTTGTAAGTATCTTTCACAAACACTTTGCGGTTCTAATACAATTTAGTGCAAATTTTAGGAGGGTTTGTTTTGGTCCTGTCTTTTTTTATTCGAATTGTAATCTCAGTACATTTTAAAACAAGCTAGGAGGCATTTTAAAACATTTGAGGCCTGGATTCAAATCTCTGTCAGGCCCCAGGATGGCCTTGGGGTCAGCCGCCATCTCGCAAGGTGGTGGTAATGATAAGAAGGCGCAGAGGAAAAGATCCCTAAAGTATTCCCTGGGTTCTTGGAAAAGAGGGCAGGGTAAAAATGGATTCCACGGCTACAGTGAGACGGTTTTCCAGCAACAATGCATCTGTTTTCTCCAACAGATGAACGGTCCCACAAGTTTGTTTGGGTCTGAGACCTACATGGGGATTGCAAATCCAACTCGCAGTGACTATTCTGGCGTGTTCAGCAGCACCCCTGCCAGTGTGCCTGTGCCAACAGCAGCCTCCTCTTTAGTGGCAAGAAACCCCCTGGAAGGCACCCATGAGCTCAGGCAGGCCTGCCAGGCGTGTTTTATCAAGAAGGGTGAGGAGCTGGGAGGGGGCCTCTGGGCGACCTGGGCTTTGATGGGGGTGAAGGCAGCTCCCCCTATTTTAGCCTTTCAGCCTTTTCTGAGAAGGGCCATGATCCTTTCTGCCTCTCTTCCTTTTCTTCTTTAGCTTGAGCTCTTAAGCGCTCTTTCTTTTGGTTCCTGAAAGCCTCCCTAAAATACAGGCTGGCTGCATAAGAGGATGTTTTGGTCAGCATATGCAGCTGTGTGTATGACATTTGCTTTTTTACGCATGAAACCTGACTTTAGGTTTTATAACTCATATGACCTGGTTTTTTCCCCTTCATTTGATTTTCAGTATATATATATAAACTGGTAGAGATTACCCTGCCCACCTTTTCCATATATTAGTTTCAGAGCATTTCGAGAGCGAGAATGTAGAATGTAACAATTTATTGCTTTTGAAAACAAAAGAGAACAAGAGAACAGCCTGCATCAATGGAGATCACACTCCTTATGGACCCTGTTGTGCTCAGATCAGCTTCTACCTGTCAGACTTTGATAATGTTAGCTTCCAAATTACCCCATTCCAGCATTTAGAAGCTAGAGAGAATCAAGTCTCTCAAATCAAATCAAGAAAAAAATGGGTCAAGCTTTGTAACTTCTCTGCTGTTTCCTTTAGATCCCAAATCATTGGAGTACACTTACAATCTGAACTTAGAGCACATATGTAAGAAGGACACCCTAATTGGTAGAATAAAGAACTCTGAAGATAAATCCTGGAAAAAAATAAGGCCAAGACCCACAAAAACCCAGTATGTGGGACCGTATTATATATGTAAAGGTAAGGGTGCCCTTTATTGGATGCCTATTCGGGAGCCCCAGGGCTTTGAGGCGGGGAGCAGCATTTCCTTATTGACTTTGAAAGAAGGTTCCCTGGGAGGCCCCTGGTTTCCCCGTTTCACACAGGGGAGACTGAACTAGGACCAGCCAGGGGCCCCACCAGCCTCCTCTCTGCCTCACTTGCTGTCTGATGGTGCTGCAGATGTGGCTGCGGGAGAGGAATGCAGATATTCTGGCCACTGCACTTTTGCCTATTGTCAAGAGGAGATTGACGTGTGGACCCTGGAGCGGAAAGGGGCTTTCAGCCGTGAAGTCCTCTTTGAAGGCAGCGGAGAGATCAGCTTGACAGTTTCCCGGCTTCTTCAGGAGCATCACGGACTCTTCATGTTTCTGTGCGAGGTGCATTTCTTTTTAGGCCACACAAGGGAATTTACCATAGAGCCCCCTATTGCTTTAGGGAATGGTTTCATCAAGGGTGGGCCGATGGTTCTGGCTTGGGCTGACAATGTCGCCTCTTCCTGGGTGGTTGTTTTGTCATTAGCCTTTTAGCCACATCAGATCAATTCATCCTGGCAGCAATGTGGCCTCCACAAGAACCTCATGTAGGCTTCAGGGAATGTAAGGCATAGTTGCCAGCTATCTGCCCCTCATAAATTCTAGTTGTTTTTCTTCTGATTTACCAAGCCAATAGAAGGTAGCTACTCAAATAAGCCTAAGAAAAGGAAATCTACACTTTGCTTCCCCCCCCCCCAGCAGCAGCGCAAAAGGCCAAGGAGGCTCGTCTTTTAGCTGCCTTTTCTGTTTCAGCATCTCTTGGGCTGCAGAGCCAGCTTGCTCCTCTCTCCAGGACTGTTATTTCATCCCCAGAGTTACTCCTCCTTCCCAGTTTTCTGGTCTTGACTGCCGTTGGGTTGGCCCTTGCAAGCAGAATTAGTCAGGAGTGGATTGCCTGTTTTGTTGAAGCGCCTTGGTTTTGCATTCCAGAAATGTTTTGAGCATAAACCCAGAATAATCAGCAAGAGGAATAAGGATAACTCCTCTTCCTGCTCTCACCCTGCTATGCACGACTTTGAGGAGAACAAGTATGTCCCTTTTCTGCCTTGTAGTTCAAATGATAAAATGTGCAGCTTTGTTTCTGGTGTGCACGTGTGCTCCTTCTCCAAGGCTCCCATTGTGCCCCTTTCCCCACTGAGAATGTGAGTGTGCAGGAGAGGATGGCTGTAGTAAGAAAAAGAGTGCAAGTGTGTTAAGTGACTAGGGAGAGGTGTTCCTAATTAAAATGGCTTATACAATTTTCAAAGACTTTCTTTACTTATCCTTGACCTTTCTCTAAAATTCTCCAACAACGCAACCTAGGTGCCTTGTCCACATTTTGCGAGAAACGACTGTGAAGTATTCTAAGATTCGACCCTTTCACCCTCAAGGTCAGCTAGATCTGTGCAGGCATGAAGCTCGCTATGGCTGTTCACGGGATGATGAGTGTTTCTACGCTCACAGTCTTGTCGAGCTCCAAGTGTGGATGATGCAGAGTAAGACAGGTGAGACTCCGGGAATTAGGCAGATAGTTCCTCATCCAGCCATCCACATGCTGTAAAACACTTTTCTAAAATGTGATTGCTTTTTAAGCAGAAATGTTTTAAGAGCCGAATCTTTTCTTCTGTTTTTGGCGTTCTTAGGCAGTAGTACTTTGTGCAGTACTATGAAAGCAGAAAATAATTTGTATGTAAAATGATCTGCAATCTTTTGCTTGTCTTATCTGAAAGTAAGCCCTTGCAGGAGGGAAAATCAGTGCGGAAGTGCCTAGCATTGCACTGCTCGTATGCCTGGGCAAGATCATCCCACTCGAAGCTATTTAGAAACACTGCATCACAATTTTGAACTGTTTGTAAAGTAGTCTTCCTTCTTGGCTCTTTCCCTCCTTGCAGGTATTACTCATGAGGCTATTGTTCAAGAATCAAAAAAATATTGGCAGAATGTGGACTCTGCTGCACACGGAGCACAGGTATTTCTCTTAGATTGCCTCACGAAGAGATCAAAATACTGTAATGGCTTGCAAAACAAAACCTCTCCTAAAAGTTGCTTTGCTTGCCGAAGGAATTAGGTTCAATTCCTGTAGATGTCGTAGCCTCTTTTGCCTCTTAGAGAAGAGTATACTTAAAAAGAAATACCAAAAGCTAACAAGCCCTCTAAAAGTTTAAATTATGCCTTCACTGTATCGGTCCCTTCATTGCTTGCTGAGGAAGATATTCCGTAGGTGCTGCCAAGAGCTCCCTCCATGATTGCCATCCACCTGGCTGCTCCTGCAGTTGTTTTCGGTTGGGGGGGGGAAAGTTTCTGAACCAAATCTTAAGTTTCAGATAGAGCCACATATGGGAAAGTGACCATTACGGCGTTGTCCTTTCTTCGTGGGTAGTTAATGCCCCAAAGAATCATTTTGATCGATCTAAAATGCCTTGTGTTCTGTTGTATCTCTCAAGATTCTCAGCAACCAGGTGAAGCACGGTTCCCTGAATTTGAAAATGAAGTTTGTCTGTGCTCAGTGTTGGAGACATGGCCAAGTTAATGAGCCAGACAAAAACAGAAAATACTGCAGTGCAAAAGCCAGGCACCCGTAAGTCTTTTCTGCTTTTCAAAGGTGCAGGGGGGTGATGAGTGGGTTATATGGTTTCCTGTTCAAGTAGCTACTCTCCTTTTCTCCACCTGAGGGAATCTGTGGCCCACTTTGTTTCCAGGCTGACCCTTAGCAACGAAGTAGACTGGTCCGATCAGGTTGCCTGTCTGCCTCTGTGTTGCCTGACTTGGCTGACAGCAGAGCTTCAAGTTGTCAGACCAAGCCATGAGTCTTTCCTTCTGCTATCTGATCCCAAAAGCTGCTGTGCTGGGCCTGAATAAAGTCTTCAGCTCCACACAGGGCTTCAGAGCCACTCCAGAATTACAAAAGGTGCAAAGCTTTTGAGTTCTCTGCAGCTCTTCAGCAGCCTATTTCAGCGCTTCTCAATTTTGGCAACTTCTTCAAGCATTGCTGGCAGGGGAATTCTGGGAGTTGCAGTCTACACATCTTAAAGTTGCCAAGGTTGAGAAGTGCTGAGCTAGATAAGCCCCTCTCACCTGAAAGTGGGGCGCTGGTAAAAGCCCCAGAATCTGCAGTTAGGATGGACTCAGGGAGGAGATTTTAGGTAGACATGCTTGTCCCAGGAAGATGTCCAGGTGCTGCCAGGCCCTCCTGGGGACTCTTGGAACGAGGCAGCAAATAGTTGTTGGATGCCAAGTTACAACTGTGTGATGTCCCTCTGTTTTGGAGGTGGTTGTCAGTGGTGTCTTCAAGAGTTTTTTCAGAGCCGCAAGCTGAGACATTTCCATTTGTGGGAGTTCCATTTTGTTTTTGAGGCAGCCATCTTGAGGCAATGATGTAGCTGAGTGGGCCTTTCCTGTACAGGTGGACCAAAGATCGCCGTGTCATGCTGGTGATGTCAAACGAGCGCAAGAAGTGGAATACAATTCGCCCCCTTCCCACAAAGAAGCAAGTGCCTTTACAATTTGATGTGAGCATGTCTCTATAACCTGCTTTTTTTCTTTTCCTAATTTGTTCTTCATTAAAGAAGCAACTTTGCATGATTATCCAAGTTTTATCCAAGTCAGTTTGTTATCCTATTTTAAAATATTTTTCAACCATTTGAATATTAACAAAAATCCTAGACTAGGAAAATAAGGACAAAATTTACCTTAAGGGAATGGAGGTGATTTATTTGCCTCCCATTTTTCTCTGAAGAATGGTTGCAAGGGGTACCCTGTAGTCCTTGAGTCAGGTGGACTGAGAGAGTGGCCCAGATTTATCCATAGGGGTACATGCCAAGCCCTCTGTGCCACAGGGACTGCCGTCAGAATCACTTGCAGGCCAGAACAGGCGTTGGATTTGCTGATCTCGCCTCCTTCTCCTGCCATCCAAGCCCCTTGGTTGCCCAAAGCTCTTCCTACCCCCCAGGTAGAACACGTCTTTATTGACTTGCTCCTTTCCTTTGTCTAGCTGTGCAATCATATTGCGTCAGGCAAGAAGTGTTTGTATGTTGGGAACTGCTCCTTTGCTCACAGTCAGGAAGAGAGAGAAATGTGGACGTACATGAAAGAGAACGGCAGTAAGTAAACAATTGCTGAAAGCAGGAAGTAAATTCATAGGCCTTATGCCTTTGAGGGTGCTCTTCCTTCCTTTCCCCCTTCGTTTAGTAGAGGGTCCCTCCTGTTTCTGTCCCCCCTTTCTGGGGATGATCTGGTTAACATTTGGCTTCCGGTAGTCTAGTTCCTAGATGGAAGCATTACCTTAAAGATATGAGAGAACAACCCCAGGTTTCTATGGCAGAATTAAGTTGCATTAATAAGAGTCCTTGAGTTTATTCTGTTAGTAATAACTCGCTTCTCAGAGAGTTTCCTTGCTCAAATGTCACTTGCTGTGGACTTACATGACCTCCTTTCCTTCAGTTCAAGACATGGAACAGCTGTATGAAATGTGGCTGAAGAGTCAAAAGCCAGAAAAAGGAGAGGATCCAGTCCCTCAAGCAAACAGAGAAAATGGGAAACAAATTCATATGCCAACCGATTATGCTGAAGTCACAGTAAGTCACAGAGACCGAGCGATTACCCTGGATTCAGCCTTCTTGCTATGCAATGCTTGCTTGATGATTGTGTGGCCTTTTGGCAGAGGAGAGAGCTTTCTGAGGCGCTGAAGTGCAAGAGGTCAGGATGTCCAGAATCTCCTGTTCTGGGTGTAACCTAAGCATGCCCAAAGCCAGCCCTGGAGGGCTATTTACTGGTTGGTAGCAGCGCCCTGCGGCTTATATGCTTATGTGGCTTTTGGGGAGGAGCCAGCAGGTACACCCAGGCCCTCTCAACACATTCACTTCTGGAAAGCTGCATGTTTGGCTCTGTGCAAATTAGATTTTTAGATTTACACATGCGGCTGCCCTGCAGTTTTCCTTTGGGTTGTATCAACAGGTAGATTTCCATTGCTGGATGTGTGGCAAAAACTGCAACAGTGAGAAACAATGGCAAGGCCATATTTCTTCTGAAAAACATAAAGAGAAAGTTTTCCACACCGAAGATGACCAAAATCGCTGGCAGCATCGTTTTCCAACTGGGTGTTTCAGCATTTGTGATAGGTAAGTTCCTTCTGAAAATTTGGGATCTGCTTATTACATCAACACAAAGGTAGCAGTGATGGGTTATGATTCCTTTAGGCTCCCAGTTTAGCAGAGTTGAAGTAAAATTGTTAATCCATTTCACTGTCTGTAACATGCCAAAAGCTAGGCTTCTCTACTTTGCCTTTGCAGTAGCAAGCAGAACTGATGTTAAGTTTGGCAGCAAGGCCAAACCACAATAAATAAGCCATCCCTTCCTCCCCCCACCTTTCATTGCCTGCTTAGAGAGGCTCAGCCAGGTGGGAAGCTGGCACGGATGGCAAAAGGCCTTGCCTTCTATCCGGGGTTGTATTCGACCCTTGGTGCCGTGCACTGACGTTGTATTCGAAGAAGGTGTGACTCACTTGTTTCTGTTCTGCAGATTTATGGCTGGGGCATGTATCGAGGGAAATAACTGTAAATTTGCACATGGACCGGCTGAACTCCGCGAATGGGAGGAGCGGAGACACGTCTTAAGGATGAAGTTCAACAAAGCCCAAAAGGACCACTTGATTGCTCCCAACGATAATGACTTTGGAAAATATAGTTTTTTGTTTAAAGATTTAAACTAATATGATAACAATGCATTGTGTTGCCAGATGGAAGCATAAAATCAGAATTTGACAATAATCAAAAGCATGTGACAGAAGCTGCAGATTTTCTGCTTTTATTGGCCCGTATTGTTCCTCCTGAAGAACAAAATGTAGTAGATGTGTTAGGGGGAGTAAGTTGGCGGGTCTGTCTGTGCTCTCATGAAACAGAATGGTGAAGTCATAATAAAAACCACAGCCTGAAGTCTTACGTGCTTATTCGCCTTCTGTTGGACAGAAGAAAGTTGGAAAATAGCCAGAGGAGGGTGTTGTAATGCCAAGGTAGCCCCTCCGGCTGGCCTTTCAGCTGAAACCTTTTAAGGTAAGCTTCTTAAAACAGAGGGTTTGAGCTCAGAAGAAAATGATGGATTAAATTCTTCAGATGTTTTAATGGAGAAGATTTCTTTAAAAATCAGTTTGCTATTTATCTCTATGTAGGTTGCTTAATAAAAGGATTTTCTTATTAAAAAGATTTTAAGCAAAATAACCATTTAACGACTATATGTTGAATGGGGTATTTTTCTCTATTTGTATGTTTCAATATAACTTACCAAAAAGGATCTTGGAAGAGAGATGTGTATTACTTTTTTGAGAATCAAGTAGTTAAAAATTTTGTTTCTTGGTCTTTACTGTTAAATGATGATTTTGAAAGATTCAGGTTGTATGTCAGTATTGTGTATTGTATGGACCAATATTGCCTGTAATAAAACTTTACATAAAGACTTTCCTAAACCCATCTCGGTCTCCTAAAAGGATCATTGATAAGGAACCCGCCTGAAGGGAGACCCGGAGGCTGACACCTGCCTGCCAGGTGTGGAGGGGGCACCTGGCCTGGTGTCACTGGGGAGGTGGGGGCGCTGCCCCTTCGATTGGCCCGTTGAGGGGCCAATCAATACCCGCGCAGGCGCCTTCGTATTGGCTGAGAGGAGCCGGCCCACCCGTATAAAAGGCGGCCGGCGGGGGGCCCTTGCTTCAGTCCCCTCGGGTCGCCCGGAGCCGGGGCGGTCCGGTCGTGTGGCGGCCTGGTGTCACCTCTGCTTTGCGGAATATCCGGAGGGCCCCCCTCCCCCAAGGGCGCTCCTTTCTCACGTTCCGCCTGACCTGGGTCGGCGCAAGGACGGGACGCCGAGGAGGCGAGCGCCCCTGCCCCGATAGACTTCTCCTGGTGCGGAGGCTCGTCGCGGGCCATGGCGGCGGAGGGCGGGCCCGAGGAGGGGGCCGGGCGTCGCGCGCCCCCGCCCCGCCGTCATCGGGCGGGCTGGGAGACGTGGCGGCGCCCCGTTCGGCTTCCCGGCGTGGGCCCGACCCGGAGGCGCGCTCGGCCCCGCCTCGGGCAGGCAGGCCCGGCCGCCGGGGAGGGGATGTCGCCGGCCAGCGAAGGCCCCGCCGCCCCGCCACCGCCGCCCGCGCAGGACAGCGGAGCGCCCGCCGCCCCTCGCATGGCCCGGCGGCCCGAGGTGCTGTGCGGCGCCGCCGTGGTGCTGGGCTGCGCCTGCCTGCTGGCGCTGCGGGCCTCGTGCAGGTGAGCGGAGGGGCCCGGCGGAGGGGCTTCCTCGGGCGGAGGCCGGCTGGGCCCCGTGCGCCGCCTGCTCCGGCCGAGGAAGCTTTGCGTGGGTCTCGGGTGGGCGGGGGGCAGGCCGGGCTGGCAGCGTCTGGGGAGGGTGCGGGGCTCCGGGTCTGGGCCCTTGAAGGCGCGCTCTTGCGACCCGCGTCTGTTCCCTAACGCGAGGAACACAAGCGGGGACAATGCCCGCCGGGCCCTGGCTGTGCGGGGAGGCGGCCAGGATTCGCCCCGAGGCCCCCGCCACGTCATGCTTCCTTCCTGGGCAGGCAGACAGGCAGGCAGGCAGGGCAGGGGCCGGTGGAGGTGCTGCGTGGGGCCTCGGGGCGAATCGTGTTTTCCTGAGTGGGAAAGACTGAAAGGAAGGAAGCGCTGCCTGGCCCGAGAGAGCTGCTTGGATGCGGCTAACGGGACAGGGGGGGGGGGGGCGTGAATGCGACTGATGGGGGTCTCTAGCGCAGCTGCCTTTGGAAATAACCCTTTTTGCCCTCCGCGTTAAACGTGTATTTGAAAACTTTCTCTTAGCATTTTGGGAATCAAGCGGGACAAAGATCAGAAAGCCTGGGAAAACTGCTGGAGCGGAGCCCTGGCTTGCCTCACCTTCCTACCCCTCCCGCCTTTCCCTTTTGGGAAACCCAACAGGCGGGAGGCGAGGATGGGGCATTTCTTCTCCAGCCTTTGGAAGCTCCCTTCTCACAGGCCATGGTGGGGGACCCCAGCCCAGGGGGCTTGAAAGTGCGGTGGGCAAAGGAGGCATCGGTTTCCCTGGTTTGGGGGCCCAAGGCAGCCTGTCCCTACGGATCCCTGATGGTGGGCTGGCCTCGCTCCCGTGTTCAGTCCCCTGGCTTTCCAGGAGCTGGGCGTGGGTGTCTGTGGGCTGAGCTCAAAGGACTTTTCCTGCAAACGGACTGTGGGCTGAAGAGCTGTCAGTGTTTTTCCAGCTTTGTCTACTAGTAGGTAGAGGGTGCAGTTCTGTTGATCTTGATCTCTGAGCCCCCTTCTCCCCTTCCCCAGCCGTGCAAAAGATGTGACAAGGCCTGCCAAGCTGCCTGTCAGCTTCTTCCCTTCGACATCACCAGTCCACGATCTCTTTCTTGGGCAGCTGGACCAAGCGGAGGACATCCGTCACAGTTCAGAGATCTCACTGTTGTTTTTTTATGCCCCATGGTGTGGCCAGTCAGCCGCCGTGCGGGAAGAGATCGAGCAAGTGGCAAAGAGCCTGGCAGATCAGGTAAAGGAGGGTGGCTGTGGTCAGTACAACGCCAGGCCTCGGAGGAGCTGCCAGTTTTGGTCCGCTGCAGGTCTTTTAAGGCGCAGCCTGCAGCTCAGGATCACATTGATTGCTATGTGTGTCTCAAAAATGCTTTCTGAATCAGCCAAGCTTTTTGTGCTTGCCTGTTTTATGTTCTCCCCCCCCCCCAGGTGTTGTTTATAGCCATCAACTGCTGGTGGAACCAAGGGAAATGCCGAAAGCAGAAGCATTTTTTCTACTTTCCTGTGATATACTTGTACCATCAGAGGTGAGAACTTCTGTGAAACGGATATTGGAGCTGTAATGGGAGGAAAAACGACTGACCATCGCGTAATCCCAGAGGCCTGAGCGAAGTGGAGGTGGGACTTGAGGGTAGCTCCAGTTCTGGTTTCACTTGCTGCATCCTTTAGCTGTCGCCAGCCTTTACTTCAGTGCTGCTTGGGCTGAGCGCCTTTCCAGCTGCTCAGGCTGCTCTCTGGGGCCAGGCAGGGAGTTTTCTGCAGGCTGAGGAGGGCATCAGGCTGACACTGAGCTCCTCTCCTGTTTGGGATGTCCAGCAACCTTGTGCCCAGCCAAGAGTTGGCTGCGTCTTCAAATTGAAGAAGCTATATTTCCATTTATATTAAATTCTTCCTTGGCAGACTCTCCTGGCCTTTAATGTTGAGGTTCTGTCTTTGCCAGCTCCAGCCATTCTCAGCATAGGAATTTGATTTCCATTGGCAGATTCTGACACAATTTCTGTTTCCTTCCATGGCAGCTTTGGGCCCATCGAATACAAAGGGCCAATGAATGCTGTTTACATTGAGAAATTTGTCCGTCGAGTGATGACTCCCCTCCTTTACATCTCATCTCAGTCCAGACTGCAACGGTTCCTCTCCAGTTACGAGGTAACCTCCTCTGCTCTGAGGGTGACAGTGCCAGGCCTCTAATGTTGGGCCTTGCTGCTTTCAAAGGCAGTCCTGCCATCCTTCACTGCAAATAGCACAGCCGTTTCTTTTGAGGCGCCTAAAAAGTTTTAAGTTCCTCATTGCAGCTTTTTAAAATTAGATGTTGGTTGGCATCTTTCCTAATTGGCCAAGTCCATTTCACGATCTTGGAAAAGAGGGCCATGGCTCCGGGGGGGAGCTGTGGGGGGTTGTCAGCTCTGCACCCCTCCCAAAGTCAGAAACCCACGTCAGCTAAGGTAATCATTGGAGGAAATGATTACCTCTGCATTTTCAGAGCGGAGGCTTTAAACCCAAGTATGTATTTCTGTTCAGGGAATGGGGGAGGTTGGGGTACGTCACAGCTGGCAGCGTCTCAGAAGCAGCTCGTCTCTGTGCAGCGAAGGAAAGGATTTCTTTGCAGGCAGTGCCTGCCTTCCCTCCCCCCTCTCCCCAGTTTTGAAATTGTGTTTTTATGCTTTTCAAGGTAGACCAATTAGATTAGGGTAAGGGAGGAAGAACAGGAAACAAATGTCACCTGGCATTCCAGTTACTGCTTATATTTTTGGTGTCTGCCTGCCTAAGCTGAGTTTGTGGTCTGATTGTGGTTTGTGGGTTTTCTCTGTTGCTCCAAGTCACCAGAGGGAGCCATCTGGAAAGACACACTCCTTTGAGTAGAGCTTTTCTGCCAGGTCTTTTTAGTTGCTTCCCTCCCCAAAATTTGCCCGAGTCAGATTTTAACTTTCCCAGCTCTTGCAACGTTTGGGCAGTTGTTGGATCTTGCACCCAGTGCAATTCCTTTTTGTAAATTGGGTGTTTGTAGTCTATCTCCCCTTGCCCACTCTGGCCGGCGGCAGCGAGTGCGGCCATCTCCCTGCGAAGGGACTTCCCACGTTCATTTTGTCCTGCCTTTCCTGTGCCTGTTGCAGCCCGGCGTCTTGGGCTACTTTGAGTTCAACGCTTCTCCCCAGCCGCCCGGTTACCTGACCTTCTTTGCTTCGGCACTGCACTCCTTAAATAAAGGTCAGTGACGGGGCTGCCCTTTTGGCTTGTGGCCTTCCTGGCTTTTCACTTTTAGAGGAGTCAGGGAAGGAATGGCTTTTACGGCCTCTGTGCTGCACCAGTTCAGGTTGTGGCGTGCTGTGTCTAGAGGGGGCAGGCGCTGCTTTTGAGGAGATGCCATTTTCTGGCCTCCATGGTAACAGAAGCAGCCTAAGTGAGAAAGAGTGCAGCTGGATGCTCACTGGGGGGGGGGGTGTTTTCTGCAGGGACTCCTAATTAACCCTGTTTGAACTTGGGGACAGGCAGCTCTTATGGCCACTTCCAGCCTGGCCAAAGGAGGGAATGGTGGAGCTGATGGAAAATCTGCCTGTCCCGATTTGTCCAAGGGCTGCAGGGCTCTTTTGGCTGCTCCCAGGCAACCCACAGCCTCTGGAGCCCTAGGGGCCCCAGGCCGAGGTCAGAGGCTGGGAAGCCCCCATGCTCTTCAGGTGGCTGCTGAAGTGGCTAGACCAGGCTGGAAGCCTCTGCACCAGTCGCAGATCTGGGTAGTAACCAGAGAAGGTGGACAAGCAGCCCTGCCTGCTGAGCAGGCTCCTGGGAAAAACCAGCTGTGGCGCAGTTGTTTTCTTTATGAGATCCCTGATGTATTCTGACAGATTACCTGGGAACCATTCACTTTGGGGTGATCACAGATAGGCTGCTTGCCAAGGAAATTGCGCTGACCGACTCAGGCACCATCTACTTGCATAGACACGTCAACGCATCCCTTGTGAGTAATGCCATCCCAGTTCGCAGCCCGGAAATAAGCCAGCAGAGCCTCAAGAACAGTCCCAGCAGCTGTTTCTGGGCTCAACAGCAGATTTGCTGGGCAGAGGAAGCAACAAAGCTGTTCCTCTGAAAGGGGTCCAGGCAGGAGCAGCTTTTAAACAAAAAATTAAAGGTAGAGAAAGGCATTTCTTTGCTTCAACCAGCCTATAATCCTGTTCTGCTCAGCAGTT